TCGGCGGGCCCCCGCCCGGCGAGCTCACGGCCATCCAGTGCAAGAACGTGCCCGACAGCCTCAACGAGCGCGCCGTGCTGGAGGAGCACTTCGGGCGGTTCGTCAAGGTGCGCCGCATCATGACGCGGCGCAACAAGAAGATGGCCATCGTCCACTTCTTCGACCACGTGAGTGTCGCCCGGCCCCAAGAAATGGGTCTAAATCCACACACTTGGGGTGTCTGGTTTCGCCGTGTCTGCTGTCTCTTGGGGCTTTCGTTGTCGCAAGAGCGACACCCATGTCTGACAACGCTTACCTGAACGTCAGCGCAGATGAGCGCAACTTAAATTATAGGCAAGATTAGAGATGTATTGGGCAGGTAGGGCTGTATTTTAACCATCACAGCTGCCCACAACATCACCGAACTTTAGCTGTGCTTTTGCCACCGTCTTGAGTACCGAGCAGATCTTTCCAGTTACCTCCAGAGACCGGTCAGGACCACTGGCAAGTGATACCCAGACTTAATGTTAGGTCTTGCTCAAAATCTCTGCAGCCTCCCAAAGTCTAGGTGCTTTAGTGCAGTTTTGCAGGACCACCTGCTCTTTGCAAGTACTGTCCTCAGGTCAGCACCGAGGTGTGCTGAGAAGTGAGTTCTTCGCCTGTTTTCTGATTAAATATATGCCTTTGGTCACCCTCCGTTGTGTAAGCGTGATGGAGGTGTTGCAGAAGGAGCAGTTTTGGTGGAAGCCYGCCCAACCTGCAGACTGTGTGTAGGTTTTAAGGAAGAGCTTGGAAAGGCAGGGCCCAGGACTTTCCAGAAATTGGTACTTTTTCCCTAGCAAAGACCATGTTATACAAGGTTGGGGTACTCATAGTTTTCATACCGTGCTCTGTTTTCTTACAGGACTCTGCTCTTCTTGCCAGAAAGAAGGCAAAAGAGTTGCACAAGGACATTGTAACATTTTGGCAAAAGAAGAAGACCAGTAAGTCTAGGTTATCAACTGTGTTTGAGGAATCCACTGTTTCTGCTCTTGAATTCCTGTGGAGTAAAACACTTAGTTTAGCATGAGCCAAAATGCTGTTTCTGGACGCTTTAAAACCATTTCAAAGAGTTGAAGACTCTTGAAAGGACAGCCTAGATTTAAAAGGTGCTTAGGAACCRTTCCTGTAAGCCCACAGGAAGAATGTTACCATGATGATACCATGCTGCTTCTAGAAGCAGGTTGATAGGAAAATCTGTTTCCATATGTCCAGCTACTTGCTTCARAATAAGGGCTGGGGTGTAGGCTTCCATCTTTTAGGAAAGCTTCCTGAGAATTGAATTACTGACTATTCCGGAGTGAGTTTCCTCAGCTGTGGAAGTTGCTGGTCTGTATATAAGCAGTTATGTATCATTTGAACCAAGGGGAGAGCAACATGCCTGTCTGTCTTGGAGAAAATCCAGCATAGAAATGTGAAATCTGGGTTCCAGTCCTTGCTTTAAGTTAGTGTGAGATGTGAATGCAGGCTGCTCATGCCCAAAGCAATACTTCATCTATAAAGTGCTGCCTTTTGTTTTGTGAGTGCTGCTTGCATATTTCTGGAGATTTTTAGCCTGRGGATACATTTCAGGTGTTGGTAAATGCATGGTTAGCTGCAGCTCTGCCCAGTCAGAGATTTGCCTTCATTGAAAATGAATAGCTGCAGAATTGTCTTCCTGAGGACAAACAGCTTGAAGCAGCACCTACACAGGTGTCTTTTTCTGATTATACTCTGCTTTTAAACTCTATGAAAACATGAATGTCAGTATTTTAAAAMAGGCACACTTGAAGACTTAAGTCTTCAAATCAACCTCAAGTCAAYTTCTAGTGGAAGTTGTCTTATAAGCTTTATATAAATAAACAAAATTGTAACTTGTAGATTTATTTGATAATATTTTAAAAAACCTGCTCCTTCCATTCCCTCACCCTCAGTGGGAAAAATAGAGAGTTGTTGGTTGAAAAACTTGGTGTATAATATGCCTTTGTTCTACATATCACTTCAGGTCCTGCAAAAAGAGAATACTCATCCAAGGAGAAGAAAGGAGGGGACGAGGAAGGAAGGCAAAGCAGTGAAGAGCAAAGCTACCAGCATTCCCCTCTTCGGAAGCCGTTAATAAGGTCATCTGCCAGCAGTGTCCTACCTGGCAAAAGGTGCGTGTGCTCCTCAAGGAATCCAGATACTTTTTTCCCTAACTAGATAGATATTTTTTTCCCCTAACTGTTCATGAAAATACTTCTAGGTTTGCTTATTTTGTTTATTTTGCGTATTGTGTGCATGTTTTTTGTAACAACACCTGCAATAGTGAAACCTGAGGAAACAGAGTAGAACAGTGCATTGTCAAGACCCAGCACTGCTAGGACTATTTGTAGTATTGATTACATCTGTTCCTTGTGGACAAATAGGGTTCTGTGGARTTTGAATCTCCTTCTGAGAGTAGCTGGCGAGCTTGTCATCTCCCATTTCACGCAACTGGCCTGTGTATGTGAGTCCTGCTGTTCCATGTGGCTGGCTTGGCTTTWTTTGGTGGTGGTGATCCTCAGTGGAGTGTGTAGCTCGGCCCTAGGACCCTGCACCTGTGGTGTGGAGTCAGACTAACAATTTTCCTTGAAAGTGGATGTTGGCAGATGCTCAGGGTAGGTGTATAATAAAATACAAATGCAGACTGTTTCCTTCTTGCAAATGTACTTCTGTCTGCCAGAGATTCAGAGACATCTTAGACTGGAATGGTGCTTATGCCCTCCTGCTGTTACCAGTGAATCTTTACACTGTCTCTCTCCTACTTTTGAGTTAGCTTGTACCACTGTGGTGTGCTGTAGCACTGTTTTTCCTGCTACACTTAAAAGCTCTGCAGAGAAAGCACTCTTCAATCGATTTTAAACTGGCAGATTTAATTGCTTAGCTTCTAGTTTTGCTGCTGAAGTGTGAGTGGGCTTCACAGTAGAATTAACTCTGATATTCATGATCCCTATGTGGTTGCCCTGTCCAGTTTCCCCCACCCTCTRAACTCTGAATTTTGTGATATCATCATATATTGGTTGGAGTTTTCCTTGTGAATTTATCTTGATCTTCTGTCAAGTAATAGGTAGCAATGCTGTGAACATGAATTGCTGGAATAATTTGTGCTTGGCCTGTCTTTCAAAATACCAAGTTTGCCATGTAGATGGAATCCTTTTGATATTCATTGTCATATAACTGTAAAATGAGAAGTAACGACTTTTTTCTTAAAATTGAGGAAAAGAGTGTGTGGAGGGGACCCAAACCTTTAGCTCACTTCAGCTTTGGTGAACTCAGTGTCTTGTCCTGTGAATGAAATACTATTAACAGATATTCATGTACTAAACGAGTGCCTTTAAAGCCAGGGCTGTAGTASGGGATTATTGATGAAAATCTCTTGTTTTCAGTTCTCCAGCCAAGAAGTCTAGTCTGCGTAAGGCGCTACAGTTTGAAACAGACTATGATTCTAGTTGTGAAGGACAGAGCTCAGAAAGCTTGGGAGCTTCCTTATCATCKCTCAGTAACCTGGTGGGATTAGTGGCTGAGACATCAGAGGAAAGATACCGCCTTCTGGACCAAAGGGATAAAATCATGCGACAAGGTAGTGTTTCTAAGTGCACAAGTTAATATGAGTGTAACAACAGCTTCTCTGCTGGGAAGAAAGTGTTTCGTGCAATCAAATGTGTGCACTGTTACATGTGCCTGACCTGCAGTTACAGGGTCTTGGTTTCCTTGACTCTAGGAATGCCACATAGGTAGTCCCACAGTTCTGGGTTGTAAGCCCTTTCCTTTTTGTTGTCACCTCTTCAAAGCTGACCCTGAATCCTGTTAAGATGCCTTTTTAAATATCAGCTGATTGTCTGTCACTTGACATAGAATTATGAAATAATGACCAGGTATTTTTAGAGATTTTAACCTCTCTAAGTGGTGTTACTGCTGTGGAGGGATACATCAGGAAAAACCTTTTCCAGGGCATGGTGTGCGAGGAGTACTCCATCCGTGAGGGTTTGCAGCCTTGATTAGGTATAGCCATGGCTGCTCTCATGTGGTGTTGGGGACTAACCTGCTCCAAGGAGAGGGCTGGGTGGGAGTCTCTAGTGATGCCTTCCCATCATCTCCTRTGTTAGTCATTGCCCTGCCAGAATACTAATCTTCTATCCATTGAGGCATATACATTCTATACATTGAGGCTTCAGGTGAGGCATGTTGTATGGTTAAAGCTGAGCTGGCGCATTAGAATTTTAACTGGTAATGAAAGCAAAAATAAGCAATGCTTGGTGTTATAATGTTTGTTCATTTGTAACGTTTCTGCTTAGCCCGAGTGAAGAGGACAGATTTAGGCAAAGCGAAAACAGTTGTGGGCACTTGCCCAGACATGTGCCCTGAGAAGGAGCGCTACATGAGGGAGACAAGAAATCAGCTCAGTATCTTTGAAGTGCTTCTAGGATCTGACAAGGTATGAGCCTTCTGTACGCAGGTTTTGTTGCTCCTAATGTGTCTGCTCACTCRTTGCTTATATAAAGCTGTCAGTGTTGCTTAGCTGATTATAGGGTAAATTCTGAGATCCTTATAGAGCAAATTCTGTAGAGCATTTCGGTAATCATTGTCTTTCAGGTAGACGTTATAAAACAAGAATGCCAGTGAACTGCTGTCTCGCTTTTTAGCTGTGTAAGCCTGACTGGAACTGTAGTTGGGGGCAGTAGTATACAAATACTGGTGATTTGGCTGTCACAAATTCATCAGTACACAATTCTGCTATGAAAGAAAATAAAACATTGTCTATTATAGCATAATTGACTAGKGTGAACAGTAGAGAATCTCTTTTTAGCAATCTGTTCCATACTAATGTAAAGGCATGGATATGACAAAACCCTTTATATTCCTGAGAGCATTTTTAATGGTCTTTTTTTCTGCCTCTTACAGGTAGATCATGCAGCAGCCATCAAGGAATACAGCAGGTCTTCAGCAGATCAGGAGGAGCCTTTGCCCCATGAATTGAGACCCCCTGAGGTGTTAAGCATGACTATGGACTATTTAGTGACAAACRTTATGGACCAGGGAGAAGGGAACTATCGGGAATGGTATGACTTTGTCTGGAACAGAACCCGTGGCATAAGGAAGGTGAGTACTGGTGGATGTGGAGATATTTGGTAACAGAATGCAAGTTCCCATGTGATGCTGTGAAATGAAGCAAAATGTAGTAATTTGAGCATTCAAGTTGAAGCCTGACTCAGTCAAAATAAGAATTTTCTGAAGGTGTTGCCAGATGAGTCTGCTCTTCAGCCTCCTAATCTAATACATATAATGCTTTGTCTATCCTTATAATTAGGATATAACACAGCAACATCTCTGCAGCCCCCTGACAGTGTCTCTAATTGAGAAGTGCACTCGTTTTCACATCCACTGCGCTCATCATTTGTGTGAAGAGCCCATGTCCTCCTTCGACGCCAAAATTAACAATGAGAACATGACTAAATGCCTGCAGAGCTTGAAGGAAATGTATCAGGACCTGGCTAACAAGGGCATTTATTGCAAGAGTGAAGCAGAGTTCAGAGGTTATAATGTTCTGCTGAATCTGAATAAGGGGGATATTCTCAGGTGAGAAGAATGAGTATTTCTTTTCTTTTGCCTCTGGAAAGTAACGAGATTACAGTTTGTCTGCAGTTAATTCTAATAGAAGCAAAGGCTTTAGTTGAAAGTTGCAAAATTATTTACAAAAGCAAAGAAATGCAATACGGTAACAATGCTTACTCTTTTTAATAGTGCATTTCTTGACATCCCTGACACAGGATAGGAGTTCACAAAAAAAAAGGAAGGGGAAGCTTAAGCTAGCTTTAAGGTGTTATAACATTTTCTCCCAATACCACATTTTAATCACTTTCTCCTTTAAAAAGTGGAACACGGAATAAACTTCAAACTGCAGCTGTGTTTTTATGGTGTTAGGGGATGAAGGAAGAGTTTAACCTAAGCTTTTGTATTAAAATGGGAACATTAAATTGGAAAACTATTTTGATTTGCTTTCGGCTTAAGAATAAACTTGAATRTACCTAAATGTTAGCAGCGTGGTCATAATGCTGACTGTGTTGGAAGCTATTTGAGTTGATTTTGACAACCTTGATTAGTTTTGGTCATATAATTTGAAAGTTGAAAGTCCCACTTAAAAGTTCTCTTTTTAGTTCCGTTTTTTTGATCGGTGGCTCTCCATTTTTTGTTGTTATTGAAGCAAAAAGTTTCTGGTTTTGTCTCCACAGAGAAGTGCAGCAGTTTCATCCTGAGGTTAGAAACTCCCCTGAAGTTAGATTTGCAGTTCAAGCTTTTGCTGCCTTAAACAGCAACAACTTTGTGAGGTTCTTCAAGTTAGTTCAAGCAGCTTCCTATCTGAATGCCTGTATCTTGCACTGTTATTTCACCCAGGTGAGAAAAAGGCAGGTGGATATGTTCTAATGGGTTAACTTGTAAAACAGTCTGGGGCTTTTCAGAGGAAATCTTTAGAAAGCAGAAAAGTCAATAGATAATTATTTTGAGAAATTAATTTGAGAAACCACTGTGTACTTAACTCTCCAGTTGCATTTAAAGTATTCAGAGAACTCTTACCACTTTTTGAAGTGAATTATCAATTTGAACTACTATAAATCCTTGCAAGCCTTTACTCCCATCCAAAAGGATATGCTCAAAATAAACAGCATGAAAAAGAAGTGGAAATTAGAAAGTAAATAGCTAAAAAAAAGTAAAGAAATTTTAAAATGAAACTGTTTGCATGGAGAGTTCAAGTGTGGTGTTTTTATTTACAAAATACTGATTTTTTTTCCTATGGCTRTAACTTTATAGTTATTTGGGGTTTGAAGAACTTAGCAGTCACCTGGCTTTCTTTTATCTTTTCCCAGATTCGTACAGATGCTCTTAAATCTCTCAATATTGCTTACACTGTAAGCACCCAAAGATCTACTGTGTTTCCCTTGGATCACCTGATCCGCATGCTCCTGTTCAAAGACTGTGAGGAAGCATCTGACTTCATAAGTTATTATGGCCTGAATATTTCTGATGGGTAAGTGGTAAAGAAGTTGTGTCTGAAGACGTCCAGTGGGGTTAAACTAACGTTAGGCTGAGTGTTAACATGGACAGGCCCTCGTTGGACTTGGCAGTCAAGAAAGATGAGAGGTAAAGTTCAGAGACTGAACTCAAACAAGCAAGTTGAGCATAATCTCTGCTGGACTCCAGGAATTTTTTCCGAGAAAGTCATTGTGGATAGTGCAGGTAGAAGTCTTTTCTTGTGGTTCGTTCAGTTACAGTGAACTATAGTTCTGTAGGAAATCAGGATACATTTCTCATGAAACTGCTGAGTTATTGTGATGCAGATAAGGTGGACTGAAGTTCAATGGTGTAAAAGGATGAGATCTTTAGGAGCCAGAGGAGTGTGAGAAAAGCAAAAGCAAGGGTTGAGTGGGAGAGGAGAGTGTAAAAGACTTGGAAGTCTTTCCAAGTCCAAAGAAGTGGAGGATGTTAGAGGCTAACAGTTGGCAGACAAGGATACATAGTATGTGGAAATACATAATTTATGTATTTTCATATATATATTTACATATATGTGATGCATGCAGAATTGCAATTCAGGTGACTGAGGAAGGTTGAAAAATTGAGCCTGTTACTTGGTGCGTTTTCTGTTACTACTCAGTTTGGAAAGGGCAAGTTAGTAAGACCACAGGTGCCTGGATTGGAATAGGATTGCAGCTTTTACARTCATTCCCGTGGCTAGTCCTGGCATCTTTGTGACAACTCTGTTCTGTTCTGGGAGAGGAGCAGTTGGGACAGTGTTCAGACCTTCCCTTTTCTGGTTTATGCTGAAGATTTAGATCCAGATTATAGGGAGCAATTCTGAAAACCCTCTGTCTCCCTTAAGCCCTGCARAGCTGTCCAGCAGAAAATGGTGAGGCTGGAGAAGCTTTGAGTATGTACTTGGTTTTATTAATATTTATATTTCCCCTAGTTTTTATGTGGAGCTGAATCGCTCGACTTTCTCGGTGCCTGATGGATTACCCAAACCATGGAAATCCGTATTTGTCAGTCAGAAGCTGAACGTGTCAGTTGGGCAGGTTGTAAATGGAGGGCCGTTGCCTTCAGTGCCTCACCACGTGCCTGTGAGTAGCTTCAATGGACAGAGCAAATACACTGGTGGCAATACAACCATGGATCAAACCAGCAGCAGCCAAAAATCCAGTGTGGATGCTCCAGGTAAGAGCAGTTGGGCATGTAAAACACAATTTAGGAAGATACTGCTGGATCATTTTGTGAATAGCTTTATTTTAWGAAGTAGAAATTGCTATTGGCTCATGTGGGTTGAAATTTCATTTTTATTTGGGGGTAGAAAAATCAAAACATGCTTTTAATATGATTATGTTCCTGTTCCAGATTAAAAAAAAATTGATACAGAAAATAAACTAATGGAAATGAGCTCTGAATTTCATTAAAATGGGTAAAATTGGCTGCCTTCAGATATGCAAACTGTCTTTTCATTTCACAGATTTTYGGGTACTGCTTGTTCTTGCTGTGCTAAGTGTGTGACCTTCAAGCTGGCTGAACTAGTACTTTCAACCAGGATCTGAAAGAAAGTGCCAGTATTTTGCATTTACTCAGAGCAGTATGTGTGTAGGTGCTAAGCTTCTCTTAAAGCAATTATGGACTCAAGTAATACAGTAATGTGTTTAATAACTTAATTGGTCTGTGTAATATATTTTCACTTCAGGGCAGCGAACTTTTGTTACTGACTTTCCTGATAAGTTTCACTAGGTTATAAAASTCATGAGCTGCTGAAAACAAGCAGCAGTGGCTTAGCTTCCATTGGTGATTGAATTGATTTTTTTTTTTCTGTCTTCCCCTCTTAATGACTTGATGCCTGTCCCCGTCCCTTCCCCAGAAGGACGAATGGAGAGCAAAGTTGTGGATTTGGATGTCACAGCAGCAAGAGTCCAGCCCCCAGCTCATCTTACGGCTTCGCTGTTACCTCGTCCTCTAGTGCCACTGCTGCCTGCTGCCCAGCCCGTTTCCCAGGCTGCAGAACAACCTGAACATCTCCCTCCAAAGCCTCAGCCAGTTTGCACAGACAGGGTAAGGGAAACTTAAAATAAGCAACGAGTATTTGGTGAAGGTTTAGAAAGTGCTTCAAGGTCTGTAGATTGTCTCCAGTCCAGAAGCGGAAGATACTCCCTGCTCTGGTGTTAKGGTTAGAATATCTGTTTCTTAAGCTTTTTGTGCTGAAACTCCTGTGTAGTTTTAGCTGAAGGTCTGAAGATGCTACTGCTTGCTTTGGGTAAACGAAGTTCTGCCTGGTAGCAACTGTTTGAGAAACTTCTAAGGAGAAAACCRGTGATACAGTAGAAAGTTATACTGACTTTGCAGATAAACTTTATTTTGGTGAATACTGGTCCATTCCCTAATATTTTGACATTTGTTTCAGATGAAACATGACAAAGCTTCTTCTGTAAAAAAGATTGTTAATATTGGGTCTTTAAARTGTACCTGATATTCCTAGGTTGTTTCCTGCCTGCCAAGATTTGGGTTTTTGCTAATTCCAGCTTGCTCTGTAAAGCCTTGGAGCTTTTACACTCTACCTAAATGAGGCTGCCTTTCAATGAAAACTAAATCTGATCTTTTAGGATTAAGTTAGCTAGTGTACCTGAGAGAAATGGCAACTCTAGAAGGAAGTGAAATACAAAAACAGGAATCACTCTCAAAATTCATTTAACACTTTTTAACTTGTCTGTGTATAATACAAACACGGAGAAGTGTTTTCTCACTGTTAGCATTTCTTGCTGCTTTTCTTTCTGTAAGCATTATGTGTCTCTCAGAGATTCAGACTTGGCTTGCAAGTGAAAATACAGTTGTGGTTGCCATCTATAATTGGTTAAACAATGTTGGAAGCCTTTACTCCTCCACAGCTCCTGTGGGACGGTGCAAGCTGTCCTGAGCCAGACTCTGCTTTGCTTTAGCTGCTTCCTCCTGTGTTGCAGGACATTGCTGAGGTGGCGGACGGGCTCGTGCACGATGTTGTCAGAGAAGAGTGCAGAGAAGTCGGCCGAGCAGGGGCGGCTTACATGGCCGCGGCGAGCTGGTAAGGAACTTCTGCTGCTGGTACTTCTGGAGCCTCTTGTCCTAGAAGTTCTAGGTTGCCCTAGCAGCAAATTAAATGCAAGGCAGGGTTTGTAGCAAAGACTAGTATAGTGCGTGGGGGGGAAAATCAGACCTTCCTTCAGGTGTCCCTGGTCTTTTTGGTGTATGTTGATTTGATGATGTGCCTCTCTAACCTTGCCTGGCATGACTGTAATGTCACTGCTGCTACAAATGTGTTGTGGATGGAAAGCTGCCTGAATGGGGATAAGAGGAGTAGGTCCCAATCTGGCTTATCCTTTGCTTCAAATAAGATGACTTCAGAGGCATTCAGATTTACACATGGGACTTTTAGGGGGAAGCTGATCCAGCAGGCCTGTTGTCAGCCTTGGTCTTACCTAACCAAATCACTCTCAACCTTGGCTTTAAGCACCAGCATTTGACAGTGGCTTGCAGGTGGTGTTTCCTGATAGTGAGAATACCTTTGGGTGTAAGTAGGTATATAAGTGAGAATACAACCCCCCTGAGAGGGGTTTGTTACACCATGGACAAGCGTGTCCTGGGTGAACTCATGCTTGGTGAATAATTCTGTGGTGTTTGGATCTTCCTTTCCTGTGACAACTGCAGCCAGGTGGCTGCCTTGGCCAGAGTGGGGTGTGCAGTGCGCTCTCACTGTGAAACACTCCATCCAACATCCTCTCAGTAGCAGCATGGGGAGGCAAGGTTGCTGGTTATTTATCTACACATGTATGCATTATTCTTTCTAGGCTGCTCAGTCCCAGCAGATGCGGTTCGATCCCTTTGTCCCCTGATCCAGCAGACTCATAGGCACTTGGAAAAGAAGTGATTTTTTGTATGAATGTGGGTTTGGGTCTTTTTAACCTGTGTGTTAAGACAAATTTGAGCTCTTCTGAGCTGTATAAAACTTGAAAGCCTCTATGTTAGAAATGCTTTAAATAATCTTCTAGGCATTTGTTTCCCATGTTCATTGTGTCCAGCCAAGCATTAAGATTATCAGTGAGCAGGATAGCTCAASCTGACCTGAGCTACTGTTAAACTCCCTGGCCCATCCTATAAGAAACCGTCCTCTTCACATAAAAAAAGATTCAGAGGACCAAAAATCATGCTGTCATTCTAACTCAACCTTGATGTGTCTAGTCTTTAAGGTTCTGAATGAAAAATTGCAGACTTTGAAAGGAGGATTTCTGGTTTTGTGCAGTGCATCAGAGGCCATCATGGAGGAGCTTCTGGCTGACGTGTTGAGGGAGATGCTCRTGCAGGTGGCGGGGAACACGCTCAGCACAGAGAGGGAGCGAGTTCAAGAGGAACGGCGCAGAGTGGAGGAAGAGAGGTGAGTTGTGGGTGTCTCGCTGCTGGATTGTCCTACCTCCCGGGCACCATAAGAACAGCAGGCACAAACCTGAGTCACTTCATGTGTGCTCAGACCCTGTGTCTCTCATGTTGAAATCTCTTAATTTTTCTCACCTCAAGCTGCCCTGGGATCACAGAGAGAGAGAGGGGGATTGTCTCTTTCGCTTTCTCTGATTATCTGTTAGTTATTTTTGAGATAATCTCACAAAGGCACTGCAAAAACAGTGTCAATATTTGAGGAACTCTCATTCTCCCAAAGCTTCCCGAAAGGGAGCTGTGTGCTAACCTTGATGTGCAGAAACTTTTCTAAGGAGTGAGCTAAACATACTCTAGTTTGAGGTAAGCAAGAGAACCCCAAGGTTAACTGTTTGCTCCATTCAAACCTGGATCTGTATTTTTAGGGGGATAATACAACCAATGAGAACTTAATTTTAGGTGAATTAACTGAAAGGYTTGGTAATTGCTACTTGTGTGAACCTGTTCTCTGTCCTTCTAGGCAAAAGAAAGAAAGAGAGCAACTAATAAAGCAGTTGAGTCAGTTGGTGGGTATGGAGTTGATGGAGGAAGTAATGAAGGAGAGTGTTCGAGAGATATCAGACAACGAATTAAAGTGAGTACCGTATCCTGGGCACTCGTCACGGTTCAGGATGCTTTCCTGAGGATAAGAATTTGTTGGGAAAGGTGGGCCTTTGAGCTCGTCTTCAAAGGTGAAATCCTTTAAAGCAAGCAAAAATGTACCTGGCTGCACATTGTCAGCTTGCAGTTGTGGTGTTGGGCACAAGATGGTCCTCCAGGGTGCAAGACAGACACTTTGGTTAAGACCAAGGCTGTGGGCTTTTTCCTCCAACTCCCTTGCATCCTAGATGTGGACTTCCCTTGTGTTGTACCTTTATCTTTGGAACAGCATAGATGAAAAAGGAGAAGCATTGAAAGTGCTTCCTCTTTGCTAGCTGTGTTGGTGGACTCTTGTTTGCACCATAGTCAGGTGTTTTAGCACTTGCCTTCACCTCACTTAAGCTTTTACTTAAGCTCTTTTGGCTTTTTTTTAAATTAGATGTGCTTTGGAAAGAGACCGCAAAGCGCGTATCGAGCGGTGCTCAGAAGAAGTCTGTGCCCATGTCCTGGAGCAGTTTCTGGAAGATGAGATATTCCAGATKGCTAAGGAAACTCTTCAGGAGCTCCAGTGTTTCTGCAAATATTTGCAAAGGTGAGTTGCCATCCTGTGATGCAATTACTTTTTTGAATGTTGACAAGGTGATATTAATAGTTTTAATAAAACTGTTTGTGTTTTTTTTGGGACTGCTATTGCTGACTAGTTGGCTCTACCCTACAGATAGACGTAGTCTTGCATGGCCAATGTATGGAGAGGGAGGACATACTTTRTTACAGCCATTTAACAAGCTCGGGAAGAGACTTCAGCTTAATTCTGGCTAGAAACTTGTAATTTCTCCAAATGTCTGCTCTGAGAAGTGAGTTTGTAGTTCTGTGTGTGACTAGCCTCAGCTCCCAACTACCACATGCATCAACCCACCGACTCCTTTGGGCCCTCTCTGCCTGTCGGATATTTTGGAGAGCCTGACTCTGTCTTAACAGCAAAAAAATAAAGAGAACCTGTTTGGGAGGAATAAGTTACTAATAGCAGCAATTTGTCTATTCCCTCCTGAAGGTGGAGGGAGGCAGTGGCAGCTCGAACAAAGTTGAAACGTCAAATGAGGGCATTTCCTGCTGCTCCCGTTTGCACCGATCCAAAAAATAAACTCAAAGCACTGTCTCCCAGTGCTGAGTGGCCTATAGCTATGGACAACTTGATCAAGGGTATGGTAAACCTGGGACACGGAGGAAAGCTGGGAATATCTTGCACAAGGTAAGGATGCTTACAGTGACAGCAGCTGGAAATCCATGGTTTTTTGAAAGGAGAGTTGCAAAGTAGTTGTGCAAGTCWGTTAGTTAACAGTTTTGGAAAAGTTTTCTTGAATACCCTCAAAAAATACACGTTTTGTATACAATTGTTTTAAAAATCAGGAAAAAGGAACAAGAACTTTTTTCATTTCTCTTATTAATAGCAGCTTTCCAAAGTTTTTGCAGTGACTTCTAATGGCTCAGTAACTCTTAGTATAAAATAAGAGGTTTCTTTTGCCAGTCACGACCAACTTCTCTTTCTAGATTGAATTGGCTGAGAAACAAGACAGTGCATGAAATGAAAGTCCAACACTTCTACCAGCAGTTGTTAAGGTATGAGGAATTGATCATTTATTTATTTAAGCAGACTGTAACAAAAATATTAAGGACCTTAAAGTCAGTATAGAGGGGCAAATGAAATGTCCATTTGCTGTTTTGCTTCTGGAAGTACTCAACAGCTAAGGGAAACAGGGTAAATTCTTGAAAATGCTAGGACACACAATCCTACTGCTGTAGGTATTCAAAGGATGTRATGAGTTTTATGTGTTCGAAGGGGTCTGTGTTGGGGTGTATGGACAAAAGAATAAAAAGCCATTATCTGGTTTGTGGCATGAAGGGTTTGATTAGAGGTTTCCACATCCCTAGTGGATTTGCCTTCTGTCTTGTGAAACACTCTGGTTGCTCATGTGTTTACTGGAGCCAGGGTAGTTAAGCAGTGTGGAAGATATGTATGTATTTCCACTATTCCCAAAATGCATCTTATGTTACAGATTTAGCAACTAATTCTTGAAAGCATTTTGTTCATGATGAAATAGGTAGCTGGTAGAGCTAATTTTTCAGTTCTAATTTTGAACCTTTTGGGCAATTAATAGTCTTCCAGTTTGCTCAAGGCAATGAGAGCATTTCTGTTGAAGGGATGCARCCCTGAAGTGGGTTTACAAGCCTTGGCTGTTAACTGGGAAGTCTTGATTTGATGTTGACGGTATCCCTGTCCTGAGGAGGCTAAACTGGAGAGGCCCAGTCTTACCTCTGTTTCTGTGATTCTTTGTTTCCAGTAGTGATGGGTACCTTGTTTTTTTATGACTGTCCCCTAAATACCATCCCAAAATCAAAAGCAGTCATGGGTGCACTCTGTGGTGATGTAAACTGATGTTTTATTTAATGGAGAAGCTCAAAAGCATGGGCATAGTCAGTAAATGAGGCTGACAGATGTCCCTGGGTAAAACTGCAACATTATCTCTTRATCAGAGATCTATCTACGTATCTCAAGCTGAGTGATGGGTAGCTGTTTTGGAGCTTAGATAATGGCAAAATAGTGAAATAGAAGATGCTACTGCAGCCTCCTGKCTTACCTATTTCTGTCTTAAGTGATTTAGCTTGGACTCCCCTGGATCTCACCTCACTGATCGCTGAACACATTCCAGTTCAACAGGAACAGTGTTTTTGGAAGGTCCTGTTGGTCTTGCCGAATGATGAAGAATATGCAGAGGATGATCCCAGCAGGTTAGTGGGAGAGGTGATTAGTGCATTCCTTTCTCAAGTCTGGCAGTGGAATAGAAGAAGGCTAGTGATGTCCATGTCCCATTTTTGACCAGCCATGTTAAATTTCCTTTCCTTCACCCCTTTTCTCCCCTCTACAGCCATCCCTTAGAATGTGGCTGAAATTTGTTGCAAAGGCCTCTCTCTTCTCCTGTCATTGTTCTCTGAAATGCTTTCGCTCACATCAAAACCAAAGAAAATATTGAAATAGTGATATGAATAATTTCGGACCACTTGATAAATACTTAGCAAAATCTAAGAAATCTGAAGATTGGGAATACAGTAGGTTGTGGAATGCAACTGGTGTCAATGCCAAAATCTTAAAATAATGTATCTAAAAAGAAATCCTTGTTATGTTCTTTTAYTAGGATTCTGGTGGATTGGTTGAAAGCAAAGTTTATGGGAGAAAAAAGTTGCAAGAGAAACACTTTACATGCAGAAGGCAAAATTCAAACACTGACAATATTTAGTTCTCCTGGTGTGCAAGGGAGCAGAACCATCAATGTCAGCGTGTGTATCAAGGTAGGTGAGAGCAGTGTTTCTRTGTGACAGGCAGTAAAAGGTAGGCAGTCTCTGCCAGGGGCTGCTGTCTGGAGGCTTTTCACACTCTGTACTGTCAGGTGGGGTTGGTGAGGCTGGGAGGGATGAAGCTGTTGAAAAGATTATTTTAAARTAAGTGCTATGTTTTACTTCAGCTGCATTACTGTTGTTCTGCCTGGCTGTATAGGTGGTACACGGTGCCCTCTCTGACACAGAGCTTGATAAAGCTGAAAGGCAGAAGGACCTGCTGGGAACCAGTGGTCTTATTCTTCTTTTACCCCCTCGAGTGCGGAGYGAGGACGTTGCAGAAGATGATGTTTATTGGCTCTCAGCTTTGCTGCAGTTGAAACAGCTGCTTCAAGCCAAACCCTTCCAACCAATAGTTCCTCTGGTGATTCTAGTTCCTGGTCAGGAAGAGGATGCCACAGAGAAAGAAGTGGAAGAAGGTGTGTAATTCCTTCTGTGCCTTCAAATAGCATGAATGTTATCCATGTCCCAAAGCAATACTCCCGAGACTAATGCAGTCTCACAAATGCAGAAAACTCAGCTAAGTGTATGAGCCTTCAAAACTCTGATAGAAATCCAGGGGCCTGAAGGAAATGAACTTTTCCTAGGCTTCCAAGATTCCTTTGCACATCATGTTTCATTGTGATAGTCTGGAGGGAAGGATGAAGGGTATCTGGTGCTGTGAATCTRTCATGAGATTAGGTCCAAGTAGGAGGTGCCCATTTCTTTCTTTATTTTTGTTCGTGGCTGAGGAGAGATTGAAACTCTTTCAGATATTGCTTTATTTTTTTTTTTCCTTTGAAGGTTTAATGCTGCAGGACTTGATTTCAGCTCAGCTTATTTCAGACTATACTGTTGTTGAGCTTCCGGGTTCTATTAACGACTTAAAAGGCACCAAAAGGGTAAGAAAAGCAATTCAGAATGTGAAGAGATGCTTGACTGGTTTATCATTAATTTCTGAATTACTAATATTTTAAAAGTAATGACTGCTGCATTCTCATTTTGTTAAAGTTGGTATATCTGCTGTAACGTTGCTCAGAAAGCTTTTTTTACCGCATGTCTGAACTTGGGTATTTGCTTTTTCAGTAGTGATTCCAAACTCAGAACCATTCTGACTTAATGTCAGAGTGTCTTTTCCATTTTTTGTGACCTCTTTTAACTGTCCAGAGGTCAACACCACTTGCTTCATAAAAGCTATTTTCAAATACTGAAAACTGCACTGAGATCCAAATACTTGGGTTGCATTCTAGTCTGTCCTGCCTGTGTTCACTAACAGCAGTACAAGTTTTGTGTGACAGACGAGTGAGTGGGGTGTAAGCCTTTGTATCCTTAAGTTCCCATCTCTAAAAAGGACCTGTTGTAGCAGTCTTACTGCTATGGGTTTGCCCAATGTTGCCCTGTTCTCAGCAAAGGAGAATGAAGGATGCCTAAATCCTGTCATATAAAGTACAGATGTTTTCCTGTTTAGATTGAGGCCATCTAGTTTGACAATTCAGAGTAGTGCTGGGTGACCTGTTGCTTTATTTTGTTGTGCAGTACTCTGCTTGTTCTGCCAGATGGGCTACGTGATGAGATCCTTACAGTCCTCATTGCCCAGACTCCAACTCACCGTGTTGTGCTGTGTTGCAGCTCTCTGCAGCTGTAGCCTGGCTGGCTTCCCASTGTCCAGACACCCTCCAGCTCTGCAGTCAGACCCTTCAGGAGTACGTCGAGGAGGGCATTGATGGAGAATTTGGCAAGCGCTTCTACCACGACCGGAAGGAGAGGCGCTCGGCAGGGCTGCCGTCGCAGGAGCCGGGCGTCGTTATAGAGCTCTACAACAGTGTGCTGCAGTTCCTCTCAGAAGTGGCATCCTCAGAGCATCTCTGTGACTTGTCTTGGCCTGTTACTGAGTTTTCAGAGCTTGGGGGTAACAAGCTGTTACCCCACCTGCAGTGGAACATGCCTGATCACCTGGCCTGGCTGAAGAAAGCTGTGCTTTCCTTCCAGATCCCCTACCTAGATCTGCCTCCCCTGGGTGGTATGTACTTCATGTTTCAGTATCCCCTTGGCAGCTCATTCTCTCAAACTTGCCTGTGCTGCCTTCAACTTTCTATGTGTGAAGCTGGTAGTCTGGCTCTGTCATGCATTCTTGCAAACTATTTTTGTGTGTCTTCTTCCCGCAGCTCCTTGGCGTCCTGTTTGCCACATGGTTTCCCAGTATGTGTCTCAGATCGCTAGTTCTTCTCGTACTCAACCACTGATTCAGTCTCAAGTGGAGAATCTGCTGAGCAGAACTTTCCAGAAGTGGAAAAGCAGGAACCCTGGGAGCTCTGGTGATGGACCTTCTGTTGATGAGATCCCTTGGGATGATATCTTGATGCTCTGCATCGAYCATAAACTGAGAGACTGGAAACCACCCAAACTGCCTGTTACTCCAGGTATCACAGGAACTTCTGTAGCATGGATGATCTCATACTTGACTCCATTTAATAACTTGACATAGATGCCTTTACATATGGTAGTGATATATGTAATCAGTGTGGCAGATTACTTGATCTTCACATTGTGGAATGGCACTGTGCTTATTTTGCATTTTTGCATTATTTGCATTTTCCTGTCAATTAAGGCATATGTTTTTGCCAGTTATGAATGACTTGAGCTTTCTATACATTAAAGCACTATGGTTAAGTTTTTTACATCTGACTATTCCTCCAYATGAAGAGTCTTTGGAGCCCTTGTATCCCACTGGAGAGGGTGTTTAGATTCAACTGAACGTTAAGAATTAGTTCCCCAAAAGCCACATCTACTCAGGTCACTTGATRTGGTAGATGTGCTGGAGGAGGAGATTTGACCTACTTGGTAAATAATTAAGCAAAACCAGAACTAATTTTCTGGTAGACATTTAATCATTCATTTGCCATAAGGGCCTGAAATAGCATGCYGAGAATATGTTCAGAAAATGAATTGTGTATATTTAAGCAGTGCATCTGAGGAGCTAGGGCTCAAGTCTTTGTTTCTACAAAAAAAAAAAGACAAGATAAAAGGAGGATAAATAAAGCAGACTTGGAAGGAACTAACATGTTCCCATGGCTTTCATCTGGCAAGGTGCAGAGACATTAGCAGACAGAACAAGCTCTAAAGGATTCCTGATTGAAATTTGTGTCTCTGACCCTCTGTGGTGACTGACACTACTTGTTTTGGGACTTAAAGCAGTTACCTCAGTATTTGATTCGATAAACTGTGAGGAGTTTATTGTTACTGAGTTCTTCTGTGGGTTAAYGAGGCTTGTGTCTGAAACCTTACTTATTTTCAATTTCAAGTGTGCTTTTCTTTGTGCCCTGTGTAGCTTAATTATAGGGAGACTCCTTTAATAAAATAACTACCTAATTGTCTGTACACTGAATTTGGATGCCCTAGAAAACTAAAATGAAGATAAAGCAACACTTTGAAGATTAAATCARCTCAAAGGCCCATTTTTGCATGTACAGTACAACTTGAAAGTGAGCACAACTTTCAGTGGCCTTAAATGCTTTTTTTTTTTTCTTCTGAAGAGGAAGATCTGTCCTGATATTAAATGTGGGATCTGGTTTTGTTTTTCTTKTACAGAAGCAGTAAGTAGAGATGGCCAGATTCGTGTCTACTACTTCAAGGAGCATTTGAAAAACTTTGCTCTCCCTTTTTCTTGGGAGCAAGCGAGACTGCGCACCCAGAAGGAGATCCAGCAGGGCCATGGCAGGTGAGCTGGGTGAATAATGTTCATCCATCAGCTGTTCCACCAGAGCCACTGGATGGGGAGTGAGGAGGTTGCTTAGGACCCCTGTGGTGAGTGCTTAGTGTCTTCACAACGCTCAAAACCAGTGTGAGGAATTCTCTTGTAATGTGCCTGTGTGTGTCCTTGAAGTGAGACACAAGGGTATCTGTGCAGAAATTAGAATAAACTTGACTTTTGCAGGATTACTCAGCTCTCAGATGGACTTACCTGGAATGTGCTTAAATCTTGTGAAATTCTGCCAGAGAGGGCAAACAGAGTTCTGGCTTGAATAGGTCTGAAGTAGCACTTCTGAATACACAGAATGGAAAGTGAGGAGTGGGCAAAGCATGGAGGGATGGATAAATCATGACCAGTATTTATTTATTTATTTATTTATTTATTTGGTAGTGCTTCCTTCCTTGCATTTACTTTAACCTGCAGCCTGGAGCTGGTACGTGAATAGTCAAAGCTATGTGCAGGCTTTGTCTCTTGGAACGTAAGGTCTTTCTGTCTCTTGGGACAACTGTAAATGGTCTTAATAAAACATGATGTCTTGGGCACTTTTTACTCCCTGCTTTTTCTAAACTCCTAGCCGCCGAGTAAAAATCAGTCCACACTCATACCAGTTCCCATTGATTTTTTTTCTCTCTCTTCTCTTCAGGTTAAGAGTGAAGCCTGCTATCTCTTTGAAGAAACCCCATAGTGTTTCCATGACACCAGCTCAATATGTCACTGGTGTGAGTGTACTATCAGGTCAGGAAAGGAGTGTTTGCAGTGCAGCTGAGCTCACAGACACAGCCTCAGAACTGGATCTTCTCCCAGAACGCCTGTTGACTCAGTTGGAACTGGAGAAAAAAGAGAGCAGGAGGTAAGTTACAAGACCAGCATCTTAAGACCATTTCCTTGCAGCCCTTGGTAGAGGGTTGTAAATAGTGTAACTTCTATGAAGTCCAACAGTGGACTTTAGAAATGTTTTGAAAGCCGCCTGTCTGCAACATCTGCCTTGGAGCGTGTAAGTTGAGGGCAGTTCCCTGCTAGCTCCTACTTGCATTGTGGGAACTGCCCAGGGTGGTAGCAATATGAGAAGCTCTGAGGAATGGTTGGAATCTGCCTATGGGTAATAAAGCCACCAATAAAAAGCCATGATGTGTGGTGTTCAGTGGTATTTAAAGGTGATTTGGAAGCATACAGGTGTTCACAGTGGGTTTTGCCAAGAGCAGTGGGGGRGCATCTTGAGTGTTGGAAACCACYGTGGGCATTGGATCCTTCTTGCAARCACCTCTGAGGTTCCAGCTACCACTTAACCACCTGGAAACAGGAGCAAAGCTAGGCCACAGTTTGACTGGTGGTTTGGGTCTTCCCTCCAGGTTTGAAGAACAGTTGCATAAATACCTAGCTGAAGACATTGAGCCCCTTGGTGACTTTGTGGGTCTTCCTCTTTACCTTCCTCAGTCTCTCGTCTCCACGCCACCTGTCACATACCCAGTGAAGAGTCCCAAGTCATCTGCTCAAGAGGTAAGCAGAGGGTGGTACTGAGAAGCTACTTGCACAAGACCTTCAGAGCTACAGCTTTTGAGTCTGTTGCATTTGCAGAAAGCTCAGTGAGAATGAGCATGGTTGTGCAGTGTCAGACAGCCTTTGGAAATGCAGGATTCACAAGTTATACTTTGATAAYTCCCTGTCAAGGAGGGAAGTGCTTCTTGCAGATCTGACATACAGGTTCCTCACAGGTGTTACTGCTTTCTGCTTAGGACAGTCTGAAGAGCACTGATTGTGGTGTTGTAGTCTAACTTGAATCTGCTGCTGTGTGAGCTGTTTCTCACAGCTGAAGAAGGCTGGTACCAGGGCAGAACATACTGTTTTTGCAGCTCCTCTTTTGTGGGAGGTCAGGAGTGGTGTTTATGGTCATTCTAAGAAGTGAGAGGGTTGTCACTGAGCTCATCTGTCTCTTGTTGGCACTGGATAATGCTTCTCYGTCTGTCTCCTCTCCCTTTTCTCTCTGGCCAGGCTGGGAGGCAGGTGGGATGTGAGCCATCGGTGATGGACCGAAGCCCAGCKCTGTCCGACAGGCTCAAACACTTGGAGCGGCTGCTCAAAGCCAACCAGGAGGCCGAGGCTGCTGCCGAGCTCCACCTCTCTGCTCTGGTGGACATGGTGGATATTTGAGCGGGGCTGAGAACCCTGTGCACACCAAGAGGCTTCATAAAGCAGTTCAGGGCCAGACAATTCAACTGCCTGAGGTTTATTTAAAAAAATAAATAAAATCAGTTGTCCTTGCAGAGGAACGCAGAACAGACATGGGTCCCAGGCTGTTCTTGCRTGGTGGCCTTAGAGAAGGTGTCTTGGTTTAATGTCTCTTCAGCTCAAAAGTAGTATTTGGCTGGTCTAGGGTTTTTATTTATTTGTTTTTAAACYTGTCTGATTTTACAGGCAGCGGAATGATTTGGATCCTGTTTTTTGGAAAGCCTGTAGTTGACCCTCTGGTGATTTTCTTTTTTTTACCAGCTCTCATTAGTTGGTGAGCAGCTGTGAGAGAGACAGTGAATTGGCTGCCCAGTGAAATACCTACCTTGTGTCCTAGCTCATGGCTGAGCAGGAAATATATGCAGGATCAAGGCCTCCATTATAGTCCTTGCATCTCATTTTTGTGTTGTGTGTTATGTTCTCCCTGCTGCAACACTGTTAAACCCCGATGTGTGTGTGCACGGAGCCAACGTGGGGCCCAGACTTGAATTTCTGTTGGARTAGAGTTAGGAGAATGCTACGAGCAGTCTCTCCGTGGTCATAGTCCCAGGGATGCTGTCCCAACTTACTTATAGCAGAAGTTATCTGCATGTAGCACCTTGGTTTTCACTTGTTGTCTTGTTGCTCAAGAATATTTTGATTCTTTCATTCTCAATTAGATTACATCACTGTTACARTTATTAATGATCCATGCAAGATTTGTTGTCCTTGGTCCAGGTTTTATTTGTTGAATATTTATGGCATTAATCACAAAGCAGTTGCAAAGATGGTCATGCAGAAAAGCAGGATTTCTTCCTTAGTAAAACACATGGAGGGATGATGGACTGTTTTTTTCCTCCATGTCAGTGCCCTTCTCCAAAAAGGTTTTATGTTTTTATTTTTTAATACTATTTGTATTCTCTACTATTAATCTACTCTAGCTATTCTAAGTTGATTTAAGAAGCTTAAACTGAAGGAATTGTTCTTTGAGGCTGTTTCTGTTTGCAAACTTTGGAGATGATGGGTTGAGTTGTGCTRGATTGTGTATGTTTTAGTAAGAAGTAAAACTGTTGTGCTTTACCCTAGTGCTGGTGTTGACCTACTATGTTTACCCCTGCTTCCCCTGTAACCTCACATAAGTTTTTAAAAACTTAAACAAAAAAAATAGTTTTGGATGTCTTATATGATGTACCTGAGCTGCTCTAAGCAGCTCTTCTGGGCAGCAAGGGTCAGCCGTGGGCTGGTGGCCTCTCTCCTGATGCAGGGGAAGGTCAAGGAGATGCTCCTTGGACCCAGCTTSGTTGCTCCTCAGCCCCAGCTGGGGCTCGAGGAGTACCTGGAGCCCTGATGGAGAGCTGGTCCTCAAAGCRATGCTCTCAGCAGCCTGGAGCCCCTCCAGGCCCCTCAGGCTTTATGGAGAGCTCTCCAGGGTGGCACCTGGAGCCCAGCTGCTGGGGGCCAGGGCTGCTGCAGGGGGACAAGCCCTGGGCTCTGCTGCCCTGTCAGGGCTTCCAGTGTGGGGTGGAGGTTGTTGAGRTTGTCCCGCTGCCTGGCTTGGGCTCAGAGCCCCTGTGTCTGGCAAAAGTCACCGCGACGAGGGTGGGATTCGAACCCACGCGTGCAGAGCACAATGGATTAGCAGTCCATCGCCTTAACCACTCGGCCACCTCGTCCT